GCAGCCAGAGACGGACGGCCAGCACCAGCAGGACGAGGACAGCGACCAGCAGCACGCACAGAAGCAGCAGCGGGAGCAGCAACTTCCACAGCAACCTGAAACAAAGACATGCACTGTGTGTTTGGCTCATCTTTGTTTGTACTGCACTGGATGCAGAGTGGTTTACAGGAAGAGAGAAATCTGCAAAATTGGCACAAAAAGGTCTGAAAATATCCATCCGGTCCAAAGTTTCATAAAGAAAAAATAAAAATTTGTTTTGCAGCTGTATGTTGTAATTGTTTTTATCAGACAGAAGACTATACACTCGTCTGCAGCTAGTATTGAGCAAGCTCTGCACTGGTGGCAACACGATTCTGTTCAAAACTCATTTATCATTTAAGGCTATTCCTTCACCATTTAAATCAACACAGAAACACTGTCAGAGTTCTGGGGCATAACTTTACATCAGGGATACAAAACTAGCATTTTAACGGATAGATTTCACGAATTAAAAGCTTGCATATTTTTACAATTGGAATGGATTAAATAGACTAATGTAATGATGCGTAGAAACACAAACAATATCAATATTTTTACTGTTTTTCCCCATTATATTTTCTGCACAAAGTGAAACGGGAACCAGCATAGTTCATATTTAAATTCATAATTATTTTTATCCTCCGGTTTTAGCCGTTTGTTTGCATCTTACCTCGTTATTTCACACAAGTACAACACCAGCTGATCGTGAGCCGACATCTTTGCGTCAGCCCGGTCCGTGCGTCACAACGTCTTCATCTCTGCTCCCCTCATTGAGTTAGCTGTCTGGCGCCGCCAACAGGCGAGGTGGTATCACTGCGTCAGCGCTTCAGCGTGAACTAAGATGAAAACTAAAAAAATGCGTGGATTATTTTACATATATTCAGATTACATGGCTTTATATGACACCTGGTTAATAACTAATTAAATAATACTGCTTCTGCTGATCTCTGCCCTGCTCGTTGTTTTCTCAAAGGTAAAGTTTACTTGAACAAACAACAGCTTCAATCAATAATTTTGTACCTACCCCCACAGTTTGGACAGAGCTTGGACATTCATCATGACGACTCTTTGGGTGTTGTTTATTTTTTTAAATTTCGACCTGCTTCTAAAGACAGGACAATGCACAAAAACACGGTAAGTGGCTTTAGTTGATCTCGATTTTAAAAATGTATGCATTTTATTTCTGCAAGCCGTAGAAAATAACGCTTTGTCAGACATGAACATTCTTATGTAAACATAAGGAGCAATTGTGAGTTATATACATTCCTGTCAAAGTATTACAATTTAATTCTGCTTTTGTGTTTTTGGCACACTTCAATGCCATAGATCATCAAGCAAATGTTATTATCAGACAACTATAACCTGAGTAAATGTGAAATCCATGTTTGTTAAGTTGATGTTTTTTTTTTACATTCATTTCAGTGGCCAAGTTTTATCAATCACCCCTACGACTCAAGAACAAGTGGAGATTTTGAAGAATGTGTCCGCCCAGTATGAGGTAGCACTGTTCTCATCTTTACTACCGTTGACTTGCCTCTTGAGGTTATTTTCTTTCAGTAGACGACAACGTTGGACATTTTCTCTCAGACAGGTTTATGGCAGCCCGTTTCACCTCACAATATCAAAGAGCTAAAACAAGTCCACCTCTACCTTCCTGGGAACAGCTCCGAGACGGTCAAGAACCTGCTGCAGAGACACAACATTGCACACGAGTATGTGGCTCCTATTGTAAAGCACAGCTGCTTGTTTGTGCCACATTTGACCGTGTTGAAACCTTCATTGTAGAGTGATGCTGCCCAATGCTGATGAGATCATTGAAATGCAGATGAGGAACGACTCCGGCGACCCAAGAAGTGGCTCCACGTTTTACTACAGATACCACACTTTAGAGGATGTGAGACTCTGTGGGAGATCCTAACTCAGTATTTTATTTATTTTTCTTTTAATAACTGTGCTATTCTGTTGTAGATCTATGACTGGATTAACAGAACAGCCAATGACTATCCGGACAAAGTTGAAGCTATTCTTGTTGGCTCCTCGTATGAGAAAAGGCCACTGTACGCTTTAAAGGTAAACCTTTAGATATAAGGTTAAAATATGATGAAACCTCTAAAAACCCAACGTTTAATTTGACTATAAACGCTGTTTTTTCAGTTTACTAAGTCTTTTTCTTTTATATTTTGTGTGATACATGCAGAGAGAGTTTTAGGGGTGGAAGTAACTGTTTCCATGGAGATTTAATTAAAAGCTAGTTATTAGATGTGCTCAATTTAACAGTTAAATAAAATTTTCATTGTGAGATGAAGCTACAGCCATAGAAGTTAAACCTTTTTTTTTTTTTAATTCTTAACACATCTTTACAAAGCGGTGCATTTAAGAGCACAGGGTTCTATATCTGTAATAATTTGAAGTGAGTCTGAGACGTCTGGAACTAATGTCGCACTTTTGCCTTTCAGCTGTCTCTAAATAACAGACCAAACAAGAAAGCCATGTGGATCGACTGTGGGATCCATGCCAGAGAGTGGATCTCTCCTGCTTTCTGCTTGTTTTTCGTCCACTACGTGAGCACGCTTTATTTACAATTCCCCCCTCGAAAACTATCTGACTGTTTTTGTTCCAGAGTTCTGAAAGCCGGCTGCTCTTTTCCTTCACAGTCGCTGTCATTTTACAACGTGAACACTGAAATGACTCAGATCCTGGACAACATGGACTTCTACGTCCTGCCCGTCATGAACCCAGACGGTTACAAATACACCTGGACAAACGTAAGAACATCTGGAACACGTATTGTTTGCTGAGTCTCCTAAACGGTTTGTAGTAAACTGTTTGTTTCTTTTAGTTTTTATTCTTCAGTAAAGCTCAAATTTTTAGTGTGACAGATTCACCCACCTGAGCACTGGGTCGTTGCAGCCCCTCCAGAGTTTTGCAATTCATGCTCTTAGTTTGTACGTTTGAGTCTTTCGTGACAGTAAATTAGATCTCTTCAACAATGTTTTCTGTTTTTTAATAGTCTCTTTATCATTGTTTTACTCTTTTTAAATGTATTCTGTGTCCAGTTAGCCCTCTTTATGAACCTTTGATAAACATTTTATTTAATGTTTTTGTTGTGACTTTATTCATTCTTATGGAATATTTTCTTTCACCTTGAACCATTGTGTGCTTTCCTGATTTTTCCACATTATTTATTGTGATTTAGGATGTAGTTGCATCACGTGTCTCTGGGGTGACTTTATCTTTGAGAATGCCTGAGAATTTGTGTGATTTGTTTTTTCAGAGAAGAATGTGGAGGAAGAACCGTTCCCCCCAAAAGGGTACGTCCTGCATCGGAGTTGACCTGAACAGAAACTTTGATGCCAACTGGTGCAGTAAGTTCAGAAAAATTCAAATCCCTCTCATGTTTTTAAAAATTAAAAAAAAAAAAAAAAAAAAAAAAAGAACACATTATTTATTCAGTCTGATCATCTGTTTCATTCAGCAACAGGAGCCTCTTCCAATCCCTGCGACGAAACCTACTGCGGCTCCTTCCCTGAATCGGAGCCAGAGTCTCAGGCTGTCGCCAACTTCCTGCGCAGCCACAAGGAATCCATTCAGATCTACCTGAGCATCCACTCCTACTCTCAGATGCTCATCATCCCGTATTCCTGCTCCGTGGATGAAGCCGAGAATTACAGTGAACTGGTCTGATTCATTTATTTCAGCTGAAATATAAAGTTCCCAAAATCCTGAAACCATATGGATTTTTTTTCTCTTTTTTTTTTTTTATAGTATGAAATGGTCAAAACAGCTGCAGATAAAATCAGGAGATATTACAGAAACACCTACACATATGGAGCAGGAGCACAGATAATTTGTAAGGAATATTTATTTGTTGATCTTTGACTTGCTGAAGGCACATATTACCTTTACCTTTTCTGTCTGCAGACCTGGCTCCCGGTGGCTCTGATGACTGGGCGTATAATCTCGGCATTAAATATTCCTTCACTTTTGAGCTCCAGGATCGTGGCAGATATGGCTTCCTGCTGCCGCCATCCCACATTCAGGGCGCTTGCAATGAAGCTCTGCTTGCGGTGAAGACCATTGTTTTGAAGGTCATGGAGAAACCCCAAGCGTCAATGGGTTCCCGTCAAGCTGGACCTGCAGCTTGAGTTGTGAATTTAAATTGCTTCAGGAGTTTTTGAGTTACACCTTCTGTCACTGAATATGCTGAAGCATCACAACATTAGCCAAAATGTACAAAAGCGTTGGAAAATGTTTATATCTATAGAAAGAAGTGTCGCCAGATGTGATGAATTCAAACCTATTTCACAATAATGGATAAAAATATGACACAATTGCAAGTAAATAAATAAATGTAATTCATTGAAGTTTGTTTTCTCCTCTTTTTAAATGCAATTTTATTATCTTTTATATGCATACATGACTTTATGGTGGATGGGTCTACTGGTCCCCTGTTCAGTGGTGCCACTGTTGATCAGCAGCTTGTTTTTCATGAAAAATAAAAAAAAAAATAATAATGTGTACATTTTTTTAACAATAAATTACATTTATTTATAGAGTAATAAACCTAAATTGAATTTCTTGGAAATTTTGAGAAATTTTCTGTGGGATTTTTAATAAACATGTTATGATTTTTGCTTTGTCGGTTGTTCAACACTCATTGATACAAAGGGGGTCGTTTCTGAGAAAGCTTTCTGAAGTGCTGCATCAAAACAAAAATGGTAAGTTGAGTGGAAGGTAAAATTGCGGTTGAAAAAGGTGCACAAATTATAGAGATAGCCGCAGTCACTCTGAGATTAAAGTCAGGATTTTTAGATTGAAGCCGGAATTTCTATTTCTTGTTCTAAGAATTCAGATTTAAATCTTAGAAATTACTTTTTTCTTTTTTTCTCTGAATTCTTAGATTAAGTCTCCAATCCTCTTCCGTAGAGTGAAGGTATTTAGAAAGTCGCTGGTGGCGGTATTGTCAGCTCGCTACAGAGTTCCTCTAACAATACCATAGAAGAAGAACGGTGAGCGACTCTCCGCCAACATGTCGCCTGTCAGGGCAGCCTTCGCATTTGATTTGAAAGAATAAGCCTTGTTATTTTAACAAGCGCTCACTCCGCTAACTAGTCTAAAGTAGATGCGACACCAAAACAATATCCTGGGTGAGACCTAGTTTATATATCCGCATTATTAGCCTGTATTCTGCTGCAAATTGCTCCAGGGCCCATGCTAATTTTAGCATTAGCCTCAATTTGCTAGGATTCTCCCGTATGAAGTAGTCAAAAGCTATGGCTTCGAAACGGCTTAATATTTAAAATTAATTCTCATACAGATTAAAGGAGAATATGGTGCAGTATTATGACTACATATTTAGATAAAAACTGACTAGAAAACCTTGAGCTTTGCAGCATTAATGCTAACTTGTTTGAGCCGCAGAGCAGTGTTGATGCATCTGTTGCTCATTCATTGCTGTTTTCCTCACTAACTCGATCGGCATCAATTATGTAAATATTAAAACCAGATTTACTGGAATGTCATTTATAGTGTTACAAAATCAGCAGCATTAAGATATAAACTAAGCTACCGTTCAGAAAAATTTGAATTTAACGCAAATCGTTAGATTACAGAGTGTCAATCAAGGGAATATTTAAACATTACTTAGCTTTTTTGCCATATGATTGTATTTTTGTTTGATTTGTTGCTGTGTTATGTTGGATGCATAATTACGGCTTCTCAGTACCAATAATAATAATAATGTGATGATATGTAACATAATTAAATAAATGTCATGCAGAGCGGTGGGCGATACGGACCCTAAGGTTTCATCACAATATTTTGTGGTACTATTGTGAAAGCGATAAAAGTGAAGTACATCTGTGTGTAATTTTAGTTACCGCTGTGACTGCATGACACAGGAGTCCATAAACAAATACTTTCAAACTTAACATTTATTGATATTCTTCAAGAACAAAACAGTGGAGAAAATAAAGTAATAATATCGCCATTTTTGTTGTGTGTTTTCTTTTAAGCATTAATAATTCAAATTTATCTTTAGGTAGATACTTTATGGAACTAAAATTACTTAAAAATATAAAGGTCTGTCCTGTGCCTTACCCATCACCACTCTGGTGATGGGTAAGACATTATATGATATGAATGTGACATAGTACAGCGACAGTTTTTCTTTTGTTCTTTGCTTGTTTGTGAAAACACAAAACTAATAAAACAGTTTATATATATAAAGGTCAAAAATAGAATAGATTTCTATCTTGACTGATGTAGAGCATGTACTGCTGAGTTTTTGATAATTCATCCAAGCATCTTATCCCTGATCCATATCTGATATTTTTTGCAAAGCGCATCATGTTGACAGTCGATTCATTTCGACACTAAAAATGTGAGTTCAACATATAAAAATCGGCTCAAACCAACAATCTATCCGTACTGCAATCTCTCCCAGTCCTGCAGAATGTCCAAGATCAGGCGGAAGGTGACAGTGGAGAATTCAAAAACCATTTCGGACAGCGGGAGCAGCAGCAGCACCACGACCAGCAGCACCACCAACCCCGCCGCCCCCTCTCGCCGGCCCAGCGTGTTTGAGAGACTCGGTCCCAGCACTGGGAGTAATGCTGCTGATGTAAGCGTCATTCACTTTTTCTCTTCACCTACATCGATAAATCTGGTTATCCGTCTGTTGCTTTTAGTGGTTTCATATTTAATGTATCGCCTGGATAGAAATTTCTGCTTTTAACATCAAAGGAAAACTTGTATTTATGCCTTTGAATGTGAAAAATTTGGACTTTAAGACAGGCCTCAGGTTAACCCGTGCGTTTCTTTTCAGAGTCACTGCAGAAATTGGCTGAAGACCGGTACCTGCAGTTACGGCAACACTTGCCGCTACACACATGGAACTCAGCCACGAAGCAAAGGATTCACCTTCAGCCGGTAAGACCTGCACGCAGATTAGACCCGCATCAAACCAAACGCTGAGCATATCCGTTTGTGTGAGCAGGACAACCGAGAGGCCCACAGGTGACCTGCGGGAGAGGATGAAGAATAAAAGACAGGATGTTGACCCGGAAAACCTCAAGCGAGACCTAGACGAGCCCACATCCCCCACAGTGAGAGTAAGTTCTGCTGCGGAGAGTTTTTCTAGTAGCAATGACTCTTTCTTTTGAGAATGGAACCGTGAGATGTTGTTTTAAGCCCAGATTAATCAAAAGCAATAAATGGAACAGCTTATAAACTTACACTTTGAGTGATTTGTAAGTTTGCCTTTAATAGCAGAGAGATCCCTCTAGAGGGCGACACAGAGAGAAGGAGGACATAAAGATCACAAAGGAGCGTACCCCGGCCAGTGAAGAAGAGCCTGCAGAGTGGGAAACTAATCGTGAAGGTGCATTAAAACAATAATAGCACTGAATGTTCATAATTACGTCTCATAAAATGCTATACCTGGTGTGTTTCTGTGCACTAAACATTTATCTCCTCCCATTTTGACGTTCAGATTCTGATATCGGCGACTACGACTACGAGTTGTCCCTCGAGATGAAGCGGCAGAAAATTCAGCGAGAACTGATGCAGCTGGAGGAGGAGAACCTGGACAAGAGAGAAGATATAGTCATCAAGAAAGACGAGACCCCCGCCAAGACCAGAAGCACGGGTTTGCCGAAGGTAAGAGGCGCCTGATTGCGCACAGATTCAGACGCAGCTTGGTTGTTACCGTGGTTTTCAATTCGATCCGCTCCATCCAACAGGTCTCTGACGAGCTGCTGAGCTCCAAAGAGTCGCCCGTGTCCAGAAAGTCCAGCGGCTCCCCAAAACACAAGAGTGGAGTCAAAGGGGCCGCGTCTGGGAAGAAGGAGAAGAAGTTAGCACTGGCATTAGCCGTTTCAGAAACAACCAGGTATGCAGGGATCTCTTTGAGAAGATGGGTTTTATCCTCCTTGCAGTGACTAAACTTAAGTTGAAATCACAGAACGTGATGGTTTTTGTATAAATTTGCATTTTATGTCTTATTTAGACCAACAAAAGCGAGTCACAGCAAGAAAAAAGGCCCCCGCACGCCGAGTCCTCCTCCCCCTGTCCCGCTGGACATTCCTGTGGTCGGGAAGAAGCATAAAGGCAAACACAAAAACAAGGAGAAGACCGAGGAGAAGCAGAAGGAAGGGAAAGACCGGGGCAGAGATACGGAAAAACACAAAGAGAAGAAGGAGAAACGCAGGTCAGCTGTTGCAACCAAAGTTTTCTTACTGTCTTCTTTGTCTATAATTTATGAAAACATACATTAATTTTCTTGTTTTATGTGAAATGCCAACACAAATTGGTGCAGAAAGATGACATGGAAGAAAAAATGCCACTTTGTCAAAGCTTTTTTCTACTAAACATGATGCTGCCTCCGCCGAATGCTTTGTGCATTGGCCAAGCTGTTTGATTTTGTTCTAATTTTCCAGAACAACCCAAATATTTTGTATTTAATATGCCGTGCAAACCAAGTTGATGCAACAAAGCTGGTTCACGTGTTTGCAAACCCACATTTAAATTCACACAATTTACCAGATTTGTAAAACAAAATTGCTTTTATTATCATTTTGCCTCAACCACTTTGCTTCCTTCTGTTTTTCTAGGGATCGTTCAGAGAGTTCCCACAAGGCCAAGCGTGCGCTGACGTCAGAGGAGCATTCGGGCAGCGTGTCGTCTCCCTCCAGAGACTCTTCGCCTCCAGCCAGGAAGAAGTCAGCTTCTCCCAAAGCTTCCCACAAAGCCTCGTCTCTAGCCTTCCCCCCCCAAAGGTTTGTCCAAGTTCTCTTTTTAGCGTCCCCTTAGGATTGCTTGAAATCCTTGAAAATGCTTGAACTTTATTTATAAAGACCTTAAAACTGCATGATTTTATGATGAAGTTCAATCTATCGTTTTGTTTAAAAGTCTAAATTTGGAAAGCGTGATGTACAGTTGAAACCAGATATTTAAAGATAATACAAAAGACACCTGAATGTTAAATCAGACCAAACTTCTCTTGTTTTAGGTCAACTAGAACCGCCAACATTTTTTTCTACTCGGTAAATGCCAGATAATTTGGCAAGAACATTTTTTAGAGATTTTTTTTTGCAACTTTCTCAGACCAGTCAGGTGTATAGAATGAGTGCCGATCACCAAAACCGATCACCTTTATCTCATTTCGCAGTCTGCCTGTGCAGCTGATCGCCTCTTTCCTTCACACTGCACAAGCACAACTATAAACGCTCTGAGTGAACGGGGACGTGTTGCGTGTTGCGGTGGAAAATTACCTCTGGGGGTGAAGCAGGTCAACATGCATCAACACAACAAATCTAATGTGGCATTTAAAAAAAAAAAAAACAAGCACTTGAAGTTTGGCTATATCGAGGCTCAGTGCAGGAAAAAAAGGACATCCGGAGCGGCCAGATAGCAGGTAAAGCAGCGCACAACTACCAACGCTCACCTGGATTAGCATCACGTCGGAAAGCTGAACACATAACCTGAAAAATGATGGAAGTCCTGGAGCTGGCGGTGTAAGACGCTGGTTCTGGCCTCGCTCTGGGACGGTGCGCCGTTTCTGCTGTACCCAGCAGTGAACTCTCATACCAAAAGTCTGCTTAAAGCTGCAGCATGTAACTGAAGAATAAAAAGATTTTAGATATGTATTAACATATGTCTATTATGTCTAAATCAGGTGAATTTATTGCCAAATAATTTTTTCCATTTTGCCAGATAACATGGCATCATTTATACCTAAACCGAAAAATTAGCAGCGAATCCAGGCGATCGGCAGAGATCGGCCTCATGGATGATCGATATCTGAATCGGCAGCAAAAAACCTGATCGGAGCATCCCTATAAAATACTATTATTATTAATAGCAGTAATAACGATATGTGATTTAGTTCCTTTAAATTGGTTTTATCTCCAAAGTGGTGATAGAGAAGTTTGAAATTGTACCATAAAAATGCTTGAAAAGTGCTGAATTTTACCGTGGGAAAGTGTTCTTCCTACTTTACCCGATCTGTTATTGAAACTTGAAAAACAGTAGTGCTGAGGGATTGGTTTTGTCGCTGCAGGTCTCCTTCCCCGCTCCGCCACCAACGCAGCCCCACTCTCCCCCGCCACCACTCCCCCTCATCCCAGTCGGGCTCCTCCGCCCATCGCCTTTCCCCCTCCCCTCGGCGGCGCCGCTCCTCCTCCCCCTCCTACCACCGGAGCTCCGCAGCGCAGGTCGGCGCTTCTTCGCCTCTCCACTCTCGGCGCTCCCGATCGCCTCCCACCTCTCACGACGCCTCCTCTCCACACCGGCGGTCCAACAGGTCCAGCCCCGCCCGCCACCACTCCAGGGGCAGAGAGCGAAGTCGCGGCGACCGAGAACGGACCCCGCCCATCCAGGAGCGCAGGCACGACCACAGAGACGGTATCTTTTGTTTTTTCTGTCATATCTCAAGGCCAGAGAGATACGGCCTTGATAAATTCAGCTGTAGGTAGAATTTCCTCTTGAATGCTCTTAAACTTCTGCGTCTCGTCGCAGAGAGCCGCAGCAAACGAGAGAAGGATCGCGACGATCGCGACTATGACTCCGAAGTTCGAGATGACCGGGAGACCAGAGAGGCCCGGGAGCGACGTGACGCTCGTGAGCGAGCGAGAGACGCAACCCGAGATTCCCGCGACAACCGAGACGGCAGGGACTTGAAGGACTCCAGAGAGATCAAGGCGGAGACTCGCTCCAGCCGGGAGTCACTGGAGCGCCGCGACCGCGAACGGGAGAAGGAGCGTGGGAGGGAAAAGGAGCGGGGCGACGCCTACAGGAAGGAGGAGCCGCCTCTGGACGACAGGGCTTATGGGCGAGGTCACGGGCGGGACGATGGAGGGAGGATGGAGAGCAAGATGGACAGAGCTGAGAGGAACGGCAGAGGGAGGGGGCGGGCCAACGAAGCCTCTGATAAAGGTCAGACAAAACGCAGACCTCATCATGTGATTCACTTCCTTCATTTACAGGATGTCCAGGATGTTCAATTCATGTATACAAAATGATGCCTTTAAAACATCTTAAACTCATTTTAAAAACTTAAGTTAACCTTAAACACATTCATCACAGGTCTTAAATTTTATTTTGGCAGCAATATTAGAGCTTGTATTGGAGCTTATTTTTGTCTTGCGGGATTTTTCTGTCAGGCAAATCTTTGAGACACCCAGACATCCGCTAACCAGCTGCTATTATACCATTGCTAGGTAGAAGACCTGGGCAATAAATTAGTAACAGTAACTCTGATCCAGAATCACACAGCATTTTGGGAGATGTAAGCAGAGGAAAGACTTTAGCTGACTTTGGCAGTATTTCAGATATTTAAAACAAGTAATTAATCATTTTTGACATCGACTAGTCTTAAAAGTCTTACATTTGAGTTGGTGAAACCTCCAGAAACCCTGAATTACGTTTTTTTGTTCCTGCACCCAGGCTCCAACAGAAACTCCCGCAGCTCCCAACTGGACAGCGGCTACGACAACTGGGAGTCGCGGAGCAGCGCGGTCCGGGACCGGAGCGTGGAGCGGAGCGGCAACGAGAGAGGCTCAGACAGGACTTCGGATCGGGACCGCTACGAGAGCGACCGCAGAGACCACGCTAGAGACTCGTCCTATGACCGGAGGGGGGGGCATGGAGAGAGGGATCACCGGGACAACCGAGACAGAGGTGGGGGTCGCCGTGGGAACTGCAGGGAACGTCAGCTTTAGAGAGAAACACTGAAAATATGAACGATGTCTGGAAACAATTATCTGCTATTCACACTCAGCCTGCGCTTAGGAATTTAACGAAAAATCAGAATATAATGGGGAACTAAATGTATTTAATTAATTCAAATCAAGAAATGAATCTGATGTATTTCTAGTGGTTATTTCTAAATTTCTCTTTTGATTAGATATTTTTTTCCTATCTGCAATAACACTTCAATGTCAAGTTTATCTTATTGTTTCCTTCTGCCTTCTTTTTCTTCATGACTTTTTGCACAAGTTGGAGAAGATTTTTATTTTTCCCTCTCTTTTCTTTTTTTTCCCAGGTTCTCCAAACAGATATCAGAGGAGATCCGAGGAGTCAGAGAGGGACGAGCGGAGGACGGACCGAGCGGAGGACAGACGGGACGACAGGGCCCGCGAGAGAGAGAGGGAGCGGGAGAGAGACAGGGAGCGAGAGAGGGAGAAAGAGAAGGAGCGAGAGAGGGAGAGAGAAAAGGAGAGAGAGAAAGAGAGAGAGGCAGAGAGGGAGCGGGCCAGGGAGAGAGAGAGGGAGCGAGAACGGGAAAGAGAGAGGGAGCGGGAAAGGGAGAGGGAGGAACGAGAGCGAGAGAGGGAGCGGGAGGAGAGGGAGCGGGAGAGAGAGAGGGAAGAGCGGGAGAGAGAGAGGGAGAGGAAAGAGAGGGAAAGAGAGAGAGAACAGAGGGAGCGGGAGAGGCAGCGGGAGTGGGAGGAGCGAGAGAGAGGGAGGGAGGAGAGGCGGGAGAGGAGAGAGGGCAGCAGGGACGAGCGGAAGATGAGGCACGTCTTAATCTCAGCCTCCGCTTTAATCTGCTTAATCTCGAGCTGCAGAAACATTCATTCAGTTTTAATAAATATAATTACATTTTAATGAGTGATGCTGCAGGAGGGTTGATTGGCCTAAAAACAAAATCTTGCCAAGTATTTTCACCTACACTTGGAATATGACAAAACTTACAAATAACTTTTGAGCAACATCTTGTTTGAAATAAAGAATATCTTAAAACTGATCAAAAGTGTTTGTTCCACTGGCAGATTGTTTTACTGGAAACCTGGAAAAAATGTCTTGTTTAAATAATATTGAGGAATTATTTACTTAAAACAAGGTCCTGTTTCTTGCAAAAAATGTTACTTATAGGTTAGTTTTTTCACATTTCAAGTCTGCTAAGATATTTGCGCTTAAAATTAGATCAAACATACTTGGTAAGATCTTGTGTTTTTGCATCGTATTTCTCTACAAAGTAGAGGAATATTAATTTTGATTATGACGTGTAATTTAAAAAGCAAAATGGGATAAATACCTAAAAAAAATCATATAATTTGGAAATTAAAATTGAGTACTTTTACATTAGCAAAGTACACTATAAAATTATCAAATTTTGAAGGTGAAATGATGAAAATTAAATAGTTGTTTTATATTTTCTTGGATTCAGCATTTGTTACGCTGCAGCGTTGAACTATAAAATTATTTTCTAAAATAAAAATTCAAAAAATAACTCTCAGCTTGACTGAATGAAAAATATTTGGATTCAGTTTTAAAATATATAATATAGATGAATTGTACATTTAAATAATTATAGTTTAAAAAATAAATCTTAGCTAAATTGTATTGCTTTTTTTTTTTTTTTCCACGCTTTTCTAATTTTAATATTTAATAAATTGGGTCCCTTTTACCCGCTTGTGGCTCATGATTGTTTTCTTTCTCGCCGCCTCTCTACAGCCGTAAAAGGCTCCGGGTGGAGAGCAGCCCCAGCCCCCAGCCTTTGCCCAAGCGAACGGCGCGGGACTTCAGCCCGGCGGACAGCGACGGCTACAATAGCGGCGAGGACAAAAGTGAGCGCCCGGCCGGCCGCGGGCAGGCCAAGCTCCACCCTCAGCCCCTCCTCCCCAGCCCCGTGTGTCTGCCTCCGTCTGACAGTAGGGAAAATCTTTTTGAAAAGGACACACTGCTGTTTGATTTGCTTGTGTAAGGCAAATACGCCCTTCTGTTTATCGGCCAATCAGACACATCCGTTTGCTGGCGTTCTTGGTAAAAATGCGTGAAAAGCCTTGAAGTAAATGCAGCTTTTACTGCAGTGGTACGAACCCGCTCTGAAACGTGTAATCGTTAACTTATGTGTTAATTTATTCAGTTAAGGGGAAAAGAGGAGCCATAATTATTGGAGGTTATATTCTAGATTTGCTTTTGCTGCTTCTCTTTAAAAGGGCCGTGATTCAAGTTTTATGCGAGTCTTTGAAGATCCTTCTGGCTGTTAAAACAAACCAAAAAAAAACAAACTCCCAGTTTGTTGCCATGGATACACATGACTATGGTCATCTCTTTTAGCTGTGCACATTTTTTTCCAGCAGTCTCTCCTTTCCAGCTCAAATTCAGCACTAGAAATGGACATCATCTTTTATCTGAAATCCCAGCAGAACTTAGGAAACAAAATAAAATATATATATATTTTTTAGGCTTTGCTTCCATAGAACACGTCAGTGTAGAGGAATCTGATGGTTGCTATGGAGACTGGGTGACACTCAGATGCTGTAAATGTTTGAGTCAGTTTTTGTCGCTGCAGTAAAAAGAATTTACAGGCTTTTTAAATGTCTTCATCAGAGGTGCTAAAACATTTCTACCCGTCTGTAAATATGTAGCTTACCCCCCTAAAATAGAGAGTTTAATTTCTGACATTTTCCCCCCCGTCTACGTGTTTTATGTGCAGGCGGGGATAAGCACCGTCTGCTGAGCCAGGTGGTGAGGCCTCAGGACCGCTTGTCCCGGTCGCCGCCACGAAGCGCCGCGCCCAGTGAGAAGGCCGCTTACTGGAAAGACGAGGACCGCCGGGGAGCCGGGGACAAGCGGGACGCGCGCGGCCGCCACGACGAGCTGGAGACGCGCGCAGATCGAGGCCGAGGAGGCGAGAGGCGGGCGGAGTACATTCCCGATGCTACGTCAGACTCACGCGGCCGAGGCCGAGACCAAAGAGAATCAACTCCACCGCCTCCACCTGCAGCGACTCCCACCGTCAGCGAAGACACCGCCGCCGCCCAGTCCCACGAGGAGGGCAAAAAGAAGACGAAGACGCAGAGGAAGGGAGTGAAAAAAGGGCGTAAGGAAGAGGATATTCCTGTAGGGGCTGCTCTTGCTCCCACAGAGCCTCCAGCCAGCGTGTCTGCAGACGTCCCTCCGCCTCTACACTCACCGAGAAAAGGAGCCAAGAAGAAGGGACATGAGAGGAAGAGGAAGCGGTCGCCAGGCGGGGAGTCTGATGCATCAGAGGAGGAGACGGCCGTCCAGGCGGCGCCCAGCAAGAGAAAGAGAGGCCCCCGGACGCCACCGCCGTCCATGAGACCAGATCGTCATGCAGCCGCCACCACAAACACCGAGCGCTCCCCGCTTTCCAAAGCGAACAACTTTAGCGATTGGTCCGATGAGGAGGAGTCAGACAGAGGAGGAGCGGCAGACACACAAGCCCCGCCCCCTCCTGCTGAGAGGACTCCGTCCGAACCGCTGAGGAGGGGCGCCGGACACAGGATGGGCCGAGACCGGGAGCGGGGGGGCGCGCCACCCATCGCCCCGCTGCTCTCCCCGGACCCCCCCATGCTGCTGCAGACTCTGACGCCGCAGCCGCTGATGTCCCAGCCGCTGCTGCGGAAACCTCCGCCGGAGCCGGCGCGCAGCAGCAGCATGGGCAGCAACCAGAGCCGGGCGTCGTCCCGCCGCCCGCGCTCGCCTTCCAGCGAGTCGGCCCACCTGGACGACCCTCAGGGGCCCCGCCTGCGCCGCGGCCGGCTGCAGGGCTCCAACTCTAGAGACCGGGACCGGGACAGAGAGCGGGAGAGAGAGAGAGAGCGGCCGATGGTGGGCGATCCTCCTGGGGGCGAGAGGAAATCCAGAATCGATCAGCTGCGGAGAGGGGAGCCCAGCCGCAGCACTTCTTCAGGTCGTTATTCATAACCTGTCTGGAGCCAATAATCAGATTAATCACGATGAATCAATTGTTGAAATATCGGCAACTAATTTAGTAAACGATTAATTTTTAGCTGGACTCAAACAGACAGACTCAAAAAAAAAAGCCATTTGCTGAAAGAACATCATAAATAGAGCAGTAATTAAGACAAATCAGCCCTAAACTTCTGATCTGACTTGTTTTGTAGACCGTCAGGATTCCCGCAGCCACAGCTCCAGGCGCAGCTCTCCGGACTCTGAGAGGCAGGCCAGGTCAAGGTCGCGAGCCGGCTCCTATGACAGTCGAGAACGGGAGCCTTTCGAGCGAGAGCGGGATCGTAAGGACTTCCGCCCCCAGCAGAACCAGCAGCAGCAGCAGCCGCCGCCGCCACTGCACCTCCAGCAGCCCGTCCAGCCCCAGAGAGACTGGGAGCCGGAACCCAGGGACTGGCCGAGCCGGGGTCGCGACCCCATGCTGATGCGTCCCGGCCGGGAACCGCTGCTAAGGGGCGAGAGGGACATCCGGGAGCGCGAGCGGCTGCTCCCAGAGGGCCTCATCCAGCAGCACGAGCGAGAGCGCGAGAGGGAGCGTGACCGAGACGGCCGGGCCGATCGAGGTGCAGATCGAGAACGGGAGAGGGTGATGATGGACCTGCCGCCGCACGGCGACCCGAGAGCTGCGGCACGAGGCGACGCAAGAGGCGACATGGTGAGGAGCGACTTCGAGCCTCTGCTCCCGAGAGAAGCCTTCAACCCTCCGGAGCCAGAGAAATCCAGCAACAGTCACCATCCAGCTGGAGATCAGCGCGAGCCGGAGAAGACGGAAAGCATCGACGGTGAGAAGACAAGACGGGGGAAAAAAAAAAAAACACGTCTTCACCTCACCTTCTTCATGTGAATTAAAATGTAACATTTTTCTAGGAGAGGATGATGGGAAAGAAGATGAGCAGTCCATCGCTTCTGTTGGAGAGGAGTATGAACCCATCAGCGACGATGAGCTGGATGAAATTCTGGCCGACAGCCAGAAAAAGGAGGATCAGCAGGAGGAGGAGAAAATCACAGGTACTTGGCTGCAGTACTTTTTCTAGCTTCTGCAGTCATTCTTTTAAGTAATCCCACAAAACCTATCTAACCTCGCACATGTCCACAGGTCCCCTCGATGTGATCGATGTGGACTGGTCCAGCTTGATGCCCAAGCAGAAGCAGGAGCCGCGGGCGGCGGGTGCCGCTTTGCTCCGCTTCACGCCAGGCGCCGTCCTGCTGAGGGCGGGCATCTCCAAGCGCCTCGCAGGCCCAGAACTCTTAGAACAAGTCAAAGAGGTGTGCAGGTCGGAGCTGGACGATCCCAAAGGTGTGTGTGTGTCTGAGATTTCCTGCAGCAAATCTCAGGAGGCCTCTGACTGAAGACGGTCTCCTGATTCTGTTTCCGGGGCAACAGAGAAGAGGCTCCACAATAATCTGACTAGAATTACACTATCAGTTGTTAGTGAGCACTGCTAATCCACCTCATTTGCTTTTGTTGCTCCTCTTTAAATCTCTATTTGGCCTTGTGGTTACAAAACCTGGCAAAGAGATTTTTATTTTATTCTTTCAAATGATTTTATATTGATTTGCTCCTGGTTTTAAATTATTTTGTAATCGATTACGCTCTTGTTTCTCTCATATCAGATGCTGACAAGCTCTTTGAGCATGACCTGGGAGCGCTCAACATGGCTGCCCTGAACAGGCGGGTGGAGAGGGCCGGTTTACTGAGCAACCTGGGACCCTGCTGTAAGGCGCTATGCGCTCGCAGGGACTTTGCCATTCGCCGGCAGCTGTTGAAAAACGAAAAGGTAACTAAATGCTCCTTAACTCGTAACTAATAAAATGTCACGCGTGTGTAAAAGAGAAAATAAAAAATATTCCTTTCAATAGGGTCAAACGAAGCAGTACCCCACTACACCTGTGGTGGACAACGAGCTGCTCCAGATGAGCATCCGTCTCTTCAGAAGGACCGTGGCCGGTCAGACCTCGGCCCCGGAGAGGTCAGAGAGCGGGTCGGCTCCGGCAGGCGAGGCTGCCGAAACGGGCAGCAGCAAGCTGAGCGCAGCTCAACCAGAGGTTTGCGTGTCCTGAGAGTAAAACGCATTAAAAGTCTTCACCCGAACTTTTACTCTCCATCACTTTTCTTTACATAAGAGCCCTGTTTAGTAGTAAGAGGGCGTGACCATGTGACAGTACTCTAGGACCCCCTGCTGATGAGCCCATAGAAGTGTGTACTCTGTATTCAACATGTCTAATTCATGTTTTTGTGCTGTTTTAAAAGTCATTTTTAATTTACGGATCTTCTCTCGATTAACAAACTTCGTTTGTTTTTGTATGTTCTGCATTGGTTGCTATAAATGTGCATTAAAATGGTTAGATCTTCGGGGGGGTTTTTTTTTCTTCTTCTTCTTCTTCTTCGCTTTGTGCAAAACTGACCGTCCAGTCGTGGAAAATATGGAACATTTCATGTTCATAACGAATGAGCAGATTTGGTGAGGGTAAAAATCCACATCCTGCAGAGACTTGAACGAACTTACGACAAAGCACTGCCAAATTATTCTGTTGGTCTGTATAAACAGTATAATGTGCTTCAAATAGCTGAAATGAATGGCTTGGCAGTGACTCCATGACTTGAACTGAAGAGTGTGCAGAGCACTAGCAGGCAAACACTGCCTTGTTGAGTTTCCTTGTCAACCCACAGAAAAGGAAATTCCCTACAGGAGAAAGCCTGATGCTTAGCGAATAATCAGTGAGGATGGGAATGGTGCAGGCCGTGTGTTCTGGCTCTGTTGGCACAGCGGAGGCCTTGGATTCAGTGCGACTTCACCCTCGCACCACCTTTGTTTCAGGATTGCGTTACACCCGACATCATGAAGACGAGGACAAATCTGGTTGTAGCGTTGGGACTGCACACGTGAATGCTAGAAAACAGTTTTTTCTGTGTCATTTCAAAGTGTACAAGTAATATTTGGTGTGGTGTTGACTTGTTTTCTATTGTAAAATAAATGTAGAATAACATCCTTACGCTGTGGTTAAACTGGGACAAGTCTGAAGAGCTGAAAATACGTGTCTTGACGTCTTCCTTTTGTACTTTTCTTCGTTCCTTGAGTCCAACCTTCCAAGTTTTCTAACTCATTTCCTGCCTTGCATCCTTCCTTTTCCCCATCCTTCCTTGTCTCCTGCCATATGAAGGAGCCATTTCTTTGTATTCTGATGATCATTTCTTGGTTTGTATTTTATGAAAATATCAGTGACGTACAATTTATACAGCTTTAGTTTTCTCGGAAATACAAATGGGTAAGTTTTCCTCTTGTTTGTTTTCGGGTTGTTAAATTTGAAAATTACAATTGATATATTTCCTTACCTTTTTTTTTTTTTTTTTTTTTTTTAATACCACAAACATGGTATCGGTGTCAGATGTACTCATACCTGAAAAAGCCATCCCAGGCTCCTTCCAGACATACAGAAGAGACAAAAGAAGAAAACAAAAAGAACATTGGCCATTAGGAGTTTTCCAGCAGTTTCAGATTGTTTATCATATCAAACAGTTCTGCATCTTGTTTGCTTGTCCATGAACCTCTGGGATAAGAAGAGGTGGCAGAGTTCCTTCTGAAAAATGGGGAAAGATTGTTTTAAGAAAATTACATTTGTGAATGAAGAACTTGCCCATGATAATTATTACATTTAGTTGCCTTTCAAATTTCTTTTCTTTTCTCAGGGTCCCAAAAATGTCATTCTTAGAAAATCCAGGTAAGTTTGGAGTTTTAGGGAAAAGCCCGTAGTGAACATCATCCCACAAAGCTTTACAATTCACAAATTCGTAGAAAAGGTGTTCAGTCGACTCAATATCACCAATGCAAAAATAAACTAGTGTTATCATCAATAGCAAATCGAAGTCTAAGGAATTCCTTCAGGGGTGGAAAGATTCTGAAGTTGACTTCCTTGGCTTTTGGAGGAACTGGAAGATTTAAATAATTTGTTCTAATTTTTTCCCTTTGAAAAGAAATGTAATATATAATTTGGATTTGATACAAAAGGAAACAAAGTACTAGAGAAGCATTCCCTCATTTTTGAGTTTTTTAGTTTATCTGAAATAATAAACTTCTGGTTAATAAGAAGTCCATTAACCAGAAGTCCAGGGGGTTTTGTAATCAGGGTTCTCATAAAAACATTTAACTTTACATAAAATATTTGGGGGAAATGGCTCTAATAATTTTTTTGAAATTCACTTTTATTTTAAGGTTATATTTAACATGGAAGTCTTCAAAAGACATAATGCCTCCATTATTTAATAAATGCATCACAGACCAAACACTTTGTTCTAGCCAAGTATGTGCAAAGATTAATTTATTAATTATTATGCAACGGCAGTTCCACAAGGAAGTATTGTGTGGGCTATAGTTATGTTTATCTCCAATGTAAAACTTGCTGGTTAAAGAAGGAAAGTTTAACAGGCAGATTTTTAATTTCAAAGTTGCATCTAAGAAGGAAACTAACCACCCAGATTTGAAAATATATATTTTACATGGAATATGGAACCATATTGCATTATGATTTGTTATAAAAGACCGAAGCCAGTTTATTTTTAAAGTGCCATTCATGCTGTCAAATTCAATAGCTTGCACACATTACTACACTTTTATTAATTACTCTTTCACAAAACAATTTAAAAACCAAAACCTGGACAGTTTTTATATCAGGGTAGGGGTGCTTTTTGGGAAAAAAAAAAACAAAAAACAAAAAACCATATAATTTAGATAAATTGGGTATATCTGATTGGTTAATTTCTCATGTAGTTATTTAATAATTATGTTAAAATACTGGTTCCTGGTGTATGATTCAATAAAATGATTAATAATTAATAATCTACTGTTTTTTCTGTTTAGTTGACTGTGTTTGATTATAAGGATTTACTCCTTGTGATGAAATCAACAAAAACAAAAATAATTACTTTCATGGGATTTTCTGCCTTTATTATATTAATAATTAAAGCCTTTTGATGGATTAGGGTTAGGTTTTTTTTTTTTTTTTTTAACAAGTTTGGTAGTGATCTAACCATTATATATAATAGAAAGTTAGTGAAAAACCACTCCATGGGGCTTCATTAAAGTCATTCTAAATAGTTATAATATAAGTCTGTCTGGAGAGCAGAACAGCTTTTCTCGGAAATACAAAGGTTCTGGAAAAAATAAGTGCCTCGGTCATCCTTCCACAAAGGGAAACCGGTAAGTTCCAGCCGCAAAAGTCCTTGTTTGTTTTCGGGTTATTAAATTTATAAATTATAATTGATTTATTTCCTTAACTTTAAGTAGTTGTTTCAAATGTTTTTATATATGTTTATCAATGTCATTATTTGCCAAAAAAATGTAGTTGACTCTAAAGCATTGGGAACCACTATTCATCTATCTGTTTCTAGTGTATTTTATTTCCAACGGACCCATTTCCTCCAACCACTCCGCTCTGATTTTGGTCCGTCCTTCCGACTTCCGCCTCAGCTACGAGCCGAGGTGAGTACGTTTGTCGGGATCAAAACCATCTACAATCCATCACCATCTTCTGTTTTAAAAGCAAAAAAATTATGCTTTAGCGTTATAAGTATGTATATAAGGACAATATAAAATGTCACATTGTGTTTTAGATAGTTTAACGTATGATTTGGTAGTTACAATTATGAGATGTAGCAGGGGATCGGGAGATGTGGCTTCAGCTAGCGTGGCTAATCCAAGTACAGTTACTCTGTTTTAGAAACAGAATTGGTCCTTTGTCAAATTATTTTTATTGCGTTTTCAGTTTATATAAACTGTAATTTGTGTATTATTTGTAATAATGTCATAGTTTGCCAACTTAATGCTAACGCGGCGGTTTTCTGTGTAAGATTGATACGAGTTGAGGTTGAAGCTGCTTTGTAGTTTTAGCACTTGTTCCAATAGCAACTAAATCGGTACTGTAATATATTATTAATGTTCTCCAGATGGCCCCAACCAAGAAAGGAGAGAAAAAGAAGGGGCGTTCAGCCATTAACGAGGTGGTGACCAGAGAGTACACCATCAATATCCACAAGCGCATTCATGGAGTGTGAGTACTGCAGAAAAACAGAATATTGTAAGCGTAGTTTGCCATTTGTGAAACTTATGTTTGTGTTTATTGTCAAGCCAGGTAAATTCCAATATTTGGCATATTTTTTTAACATTAGGACAGGTCAAAATACTAAAATGTATTGATTCCTTCAACATATTTTTGTTGATGGAGATTAGAAATGCAATAAAAATCAAAACGGTCTCTGTTTATGCAGATTTCCATCACCGTTTAATATTCTTGATTGTGCATAGAGAGCAAAAAGTTATATTTAATAATTGCTGATAAACTGCAAATGGTTGTGTAAACAATCCGACAATGTGTGAATTTCATTTCGTCCCCCTTTCTGCTGTTAATGTGACTGAAATGTCTCGTGCAGGGGTTTCAAGAAGAGGGCTCCCCGTGCCATCAACGAAATCCGCAAGTTCGCCATGAAGGAGATGGGAACTCCTGATGTCCGCATCGACACTCGCCTCAACAAGGCGGTGTGGAGCAAGGGGATCAGGTCAGTCAGTCTGTCTGATTTCCACTGATAAACAAAAAGGAAATTAATAGGCTTAACATCAAGAAAATCATTATTTGAATTTCCCACTTTTTTTTTTCATTTGAAACGCATGATGGTGCATTTAATGCATTTCACTGCGCCAGGAGGCTCTGGCCTTATGTAATATGAAATTGCACCTAAATCATAGTTTCATTTTGGCTGCCCTCTATCCACTAATGTGTGCAATGTGTTTAAAAGCTCTACATTAATATTTCTTTTTGTGGTTGGGATCATTGGAAAATATTGGACGAATTTTAACTCAAGTTGGTGACAATTGTACGTAGGATATATTACATACATACTGATCTGAATCTGCTACCTGTATAGCTCCATATATTGTTTTTGTGCTTTCTGGAATTGATACATTCTGCTGCAGAAATTATTCTTATTATTTTTTGCTGATTTAATTGGGCTGTTGGTTCTGATGAAAAATCAAGATGTCAATAAAACTGAACTTGGACGTAGCGGTGCAAACAGATGATACCTACGAGGTTTTATTCCATCTTGTTTGGCACTTGAAGCAGCTGTTCAGTCGACTTCTCCTGATGTGTTGTGCAGGAACGTGCCGTACAGGATGCGCGTACGGCTGTCCAGGAAGCGCAACGAGGATGAGGACTCTCCCAACAAACTCTACACCCTGGTCACATACGTTCCTGTCACCACATGCAAAGGTAAATCCTCAGGCCGCTGGCTCTGAAGCGTCTTTACTAGCAATATAGCTGTTTAATCATTTGTTTCTCCTTTTCCCAACAGGTCTGCAGACTGTCAACGTTGATGAAAATTAAATTTGTGGAATAAATGAAAAATAAAAAATAGAAAAAGCTTGTCTTTGTCTTTTGTTTAGCTCACTCTTGTCACTTATTTGTTCCCATAATAAGGAACATGGCGAAAAGGCCAGATGCATTTCTTTATAAAGATGACCTGAAAGTTTACAGACTGAACTTTCTCAAATCTCATGTTACAACCATGGAATTTTAAATGTATTTTACTAGAGTTTTGTCAGGCCAATACAAATGAGAGCATGATGGGAAATAAGACATTTTCTTCTGTTTATATTTGTAGGAAAAGTAGTTTCCAACTTAAGATTTGAAAATTGATCTAAAGAATATGTTTAATAGTCATTTCTTGTGGAAATTTCATCACAGTCAAAGTGAAAAATATGCCAAAACGGGCATTTTTGTTTGTATATGTTTTAACCAAAAGTTAGTAAGAGTTTTGATTAAATATGGAAGACAAAAATCAGAATTGGATTTTAATCAAATAATTTTGAGAAAGCAGACAGCATTCTGACTATTAAAGCTAGAATCATCCTTTTTGTTCCATAAGTGGGAAATTTAGGCTGTCAAGATGACAGTGGACAGAACAAGAGAAACAAATGAAAAAGAATCAAATACAGTAAGGTGTAGAGAAAACATACAAGCTAGACTGAAATAGATATGAAAATATTAAATAGAAAAATACATGTGCATATATATACATAAATATGTATCTTTAATCAAAACGTTACATTTTCAAGTGAGAAGCTGTAAATAAAAACGAAAATGTTTCTAAGCCTTTAAAAAAAAAATAATTTAGGTCCCTTGAATATTTATCCATCTATCGACTTCATCTCCACAGCTTGTCACATGAACGCATTCAAGTCTGAGCATTTAGAACAAGAAAAACGGGAGACGCCAAATCTAGGGTGCAGTGACGCGGTCCCGTCGCTGGGAGGAGCTGTTCATTTTGCCTGCACTTGGATCGGATGGAGTGAAAAACACATTAGCTTCGATAGCAATGGCTAATGTTTACTCCTTATTTAGCTTAGCTGTGCGCTTTCTATAAGTCAACATAAAGGTAAGAGGAAATGCTTTACTGGCTCACTATCTGCTTTGTCACCTTTTATGAACCTCGCAGAGATAAACTAAGGGATATGCGGGATGTCAGGGACGAGCAGGCGTGGCTTGCTAACTGGCTAGATACCTAACTAGCCAATTAAAGCATTTTTATATAAACTACTGGAGCTACAAATGCTAATATTTTATAGAAATTTGTACCACCCAGCGATTTTCTCAATGACACCTCTTTGAATCGCCTTTCGCATGATTACGTCATGTTTTAGGCGTCTCATTTTGCGTGTTGTAAACCTGTCCAGGTGCGAGCTTCTGCTTTCCATGGCCGTGGGCTGATGTGCACATCATGCGGCACCAGTGGCTGCTCCTCGGGGCTTGTGGCTGGGTCCTGCTCGTCCTCATGTTTGTCAGTAAATTCATCAGCTTTAAAACTATTGAAGGTAAGATACTGGTCACCGGTGCTATATCTTCATGCAACACTAGATTGAAAACAATCAGGAGACATTTCAGAAGCTTATCGGTCACAGAGAATGGTTACTGTAATTAAAGCTAAAGATTGTCAAAAGAAATATTAGATGTGCAACATTTTGTTCATTCTACCTTTGCTTTTCATGCAAATTTTTTAAACTCTTCTATTTACTTCTTTTTTTCAGCTACATTTTGTGTTAAAATACAAAACTGTAGTGATAAGACTCCAATATATATATTTTCTTTCAATACTGATGTTTGGGCTGTTTTTTTGGTTATGATGGCACACTTTGGTATTAGAAATATTTCAGGACGATAAACGGATGATTTATTTCATTTTATTCTGCATGTTTAGAAGTCAGATTAACATTTGTTTGTGCTTTCCCAGGTTACAAGAAGCGACCTGCTCAAAGTTGGACTGTGGGAGATACAAAGGTGGCAAAACTGGCATCTGTGCCGAGCACATTAAAGCAAAATCAAACACCATCACATCAGGTGAGAAACTCATTTCAGATATTTTTTATTTATTTATTTATTTATTTTTTACCTCTTTCCTATTCACACAAAAAATGCTGTGAAATTCAGTCCATCAGTCATGGCAGCTCTTGTGTGATTGTCTCAGCCCTCAGTTGCGGCCACCGCGTCAGACTGGCAGGAGGTCTCGGAGAGCCGACTCGAGCATCTTTCAGCCGTGTGCAAGAACAGCAGCCTGAGGAATTTAACTCACGTCTCGATCAGCAAGTTCGTCCTCGACCGCATCTTTGTCTGCGACAAGCGCCAGATCTTGTTCTGCCAGACGCCTAAAGTGGGGAACACACAGTGGAAGAAGGTGCTCATTGTGCTCAATGGTGAGTACGGGATGGACTGCTGCACATTTTACTGGCGTTACAGTGGGAATTTACAAGGATGAAGCTTAGAAAGTTTCTGGTTTGTCTTGGCTGCTGCAGGAGGTTTTCCCAGCGTGGAAGAAATCCCAGAAAACCTCGTTCACGACCACGACAAAAACGGCCTGCCCCGCCTGTCTTCATTCTCCCCGCAGGAAATAACTGAAAGGTTGGTTTTGTTTGTGTGTAAATTGCATACCGCAGACAATCTATTTTCTTTTTTCTTCCCTGCAAGTGCAATGGATCAAATTTCATGAAATTTAACATGCCTCGTAGGAGTTTTTCAAATTTACTTGTTAATCCTTGCTGTCTGCCTCACCAGGTTGAACTCTTACTTTAAGTTCTTCATCGTGAGAGATCCCTTCGAACGCCTCATTTCTGCATTCAAAGACAAGTTTGTGAAGAACCCGCGCTTCGAGCCCTGGTACAAGCACGACATCGCGCCGGCCATCATCCGCAAATACCGCAAGGTCCACCGCGAGAGCGACCTGGCCGCCTCCGGCCTGCACTTCGAGGACTTCGTCCGTTACCTGGGAGACGCCGAGGGCCGCCGGCGGATGGACCGGCAGTTCGGGGAGCACATCATCCACTGGGTGACGTACGCGGAGCTGTGCGCGCCGTGCGAGATAAACTACAGCGTGGTCGGGCACCACGAGACCCTGGAGCACGACGCGGCGTTCATCCTGAGAGCAGCCGGCATCCACCAACTGGTGTCGTACCCGGCCATTCCTCCGGGCATCACGCGCTACAACAGGACCAAGGTGGAGCACTACTTCTCAGGGATCAGCAAGCGGGACATCAGGCGTCTCTATGCACGATACCAAGGCGACTTCCAGCTGTTTGGCTACCCGACGCCAGAGTTTTTACTGAACTGAATGGGAAAACTGAACTAGGGTGTTGGATTTGAGCATCCTTGCTGCCATAGGAAGAGCAGACTTTAAAATAAATTGTCTACTTTTACTCCCATGGTTTTGTTGGAATAATCGGTGTGAGCTGTGTTGAATTATCATTTTACTGAAGGAAAGTAGTCAATATAATAATTAATGAGAGGTGTAAATCAAACGAAGAACACATTTAACGGTTTTATATTTAATAATCATGTTTGACTTCTTATCTGTTATACAGGTATATAGTCCTGTAAATGTAGCTATATTGTTGCACTGTTTGGATCTCCTGATTCAGGGATTCGTTATGGATGATGCTGCAGGTGCATCTCAGTAAATCAGAATACCATTGAAGGGGCAGTATTATGTCAAATTGACTTTTTTTTTTTATTGTTATCTTTACATCATGTTATAATGTTACTCCCTCATCAAAAACATACCAGGAGTGTTGCCTTGATTGCATGTTTGAAAAACCCTTCAGTCTCACAAAAAAAACCCCACTAAACTGCCCATTTAAAAGTGTATTTTAGTTGAACCATGTGTACTATGTAGATTAATTAAACAAATTGAATAATGTTTGCTAAACTGTTTAAACTCCTTGGTGATGTTTTCAGATGCGCCTGCGCAGCTGCAGATCCTGTTCTGTTACAACTGAAGGTCCTCTTTGAAGAACAAACTGAGCACTTGTGGTTTTTCATTAAGGTTTTTATGACTTATAGAACAGCATTAACTTTTTTTACATTTTTATAATAATGAAGTATAATAACGAGGCAAACAAATGTCTTGTCAAGGAAAAAAATAAAACCTGGGGAAGGTTAATATAGGTGTAATAATGAACTGAAAAACTGACTCCCTTTGCGCCGACACTGGATTTTGAAAGCTACTTTTTTTTTTCTACAAGAAGTGTAACACTTAAATGTTCTTAACATGACTTGCAATTAAACATTTTTATTAAATGTTGATATTTATATTAGGAATTTGGTGACGGGTGGCTGCAAGTTTTAAAGCATTATTGGCTCCCTGTGGGTAGTTTGTGTTTCAGAGACCGGGTTTAAAATAAAGGCGTAAAATATCTGTGTGGTGGTTTCCATTTGTTGTGCTTTTGAATTTTGTGCAAACAACAAATAATTTAAAGGGATGTACGACAAAACTTGTATATCTGCTTTGGATTCACTTGACATTTCAGTAGTGTGGTTTCAAAGAAACAGTGACGTCTTTGTTTCCTTTCTGTTATCCCAATAACTTGCTGTAACAATTCACAAAAAAAAAAAAAGTAAAGTGGACAACTTGAAGAAGCAATTTCTGCCTAATAAATATGACAAGCTAGCATCTTCTTAGATATTGCTTAGAATGACCCAATCTTTTAAAAAAAATGTATCGAAACAGCGACGTAATGATCAACTCTGGATGCAGTGACACCAAAGATCCACGAGGTGGCGGTAAATACTTGAATTAACAGTGACACCAGCTTTGAACTCCAATGAACCCTTGATCTAAATGCCACCACTCGAAGCTGTTACGGTGAAATATTGGATTAGTAAATGTCACCTGATGTGTGTCCAAAACAAACATGCCAGATATAGGATAACAGTAATCACATCAACACAAGGAACAGAGTTTACATTTATTATCTGCTGCTGAATGTTCGCGTTTGGTTTCTGGTATCTTTTTTTGAGACTAATTTACTAAGCGTTAGTCATGTTTTGCACTGTTATACTCATAAATATTGAATGTTTCCCCATTTTGTCATGTTGCAACCACAAGCTACATTGTGTTTGAATTGGAATTTATGATACAGACAACACAAAAAGTGCTTAATTGTGAACCAGGAGGAAATTATGCAAACTTAAGCTAATTTTTAGTGCAAAAATCAGCCAGATTGTACGTAAAACATGTAAAAGAAACAGAATAGTGGTTTTTGAGGACTGAAGTTGCAGTTCTCTGTGTCTAAATCATTCAATTGTGACATTGATTATATGTTTTGGGTCTCTGACCTTACGGAAGGGAAACCTCCACCCCAGTCTCGAGAGGGGTGGAGGATGTTAAGGTTAAAGTAAGGTATTTGGTATCCACAACACAGAGTGTATGTTGTAATATACTCTTTCCATGTTCAGATGATGGATTGGACAATGCTCAGCAAGTCGTCGAAAGCTCGGGTTGTTAATTGTGAATATATAAATGCATGTCACACTTTTCAGATTTTCTTTCACTTTACATTTACAGACTACTTTGTGTTTGTCTACTAAATAAAATACATTGAATGAAAAGTTCTCTGCATTTTCTCCCTCAGCTTTGTTGCTTTCCCCCCAGCCTGCCCAACTGGTTCCTCCTGTCTTTTTATTTGCATGTCTTGGTAAAGTTTGTTCAAGCAACAGATTGTCTGTCTCTGGTTGGACCTTTCACTGTGCTGTGGCGGTAATTAACTGACATCCTGCCTTTTGCTTTTGCTTTGTTAGAAAGCATTCAGAGCATGACGCCGTGTAGCGCGCTTAAAGGATTTATGATTATTGGTGCAGCTGCAGAATGGCTTGAGATAAAGACGCAGAGCCATGATTGAACTACATCAATGGACTGAGTGAGGTTTGCAGAAATTACAGCTTTTAGTACATCTGACTCACCTGCAAAACTGTACTGATTTTTAACTGGTTTACTATTAAGATAGCAATCAGTTCTGGAAATTATTGTAGCAAAAAACAAAAAATCCTTACTTATTTTTCTCCTAAAGCTCTCCGGTGTGCCAACTGTCCAGACACAACATCCCCTCCTGATTCTGCTCATCTGCCACACCCATGCTTACCAGTGTGAACATTTTAGGTCAATGTGCACACGTCCAGGCCGGCGTCTGCCCTCGTCTCACCTGTCTGCCCACTGAGGTGCTTTGTGTAAACACCAGCATGCGGGCTGATGTCCGTTGGACAGTTTAGGCAGGAATTGTGTGTTATCATCACTGTATCCACGCTCACTGAGGAGAGACCCAGCCCTAATCTCTCTGTGTGCAGCCAACCGGCTTCCTGTGTTTGAGGGATTCTCTTCTAAATCAGCGTGAAGCCAGAGGACAGCAAACAGAAGAGAAGCTCTGCTGGGGTAGCTTCACCTTCAGCATAAAAGAAAGACAGATACAGTTCCTGATGTCACCGTGACACAATAAAAGAGGAAAAATACATTGATACGTAGGAAAATAACAATAGATTGGTTGAAAATCTGGAAATGGGCAAAATCATGTGCAAAGTGTGGTTTAATATAAAGAATTTTTTTAAAATGGCAATATGATGAACAGATGAACACAAAGAGAACAAGAGGGAGTAAAATCACATATTTATGAAAAAACATATCTGAGCATATAATTGAACAAAACAAACAGGGAAACGAGAAAAATATGTATATATATAAAGAAATAGCCCAAAACAATATCAAAACACTCACAAAAATGCATTTGAGGTCTTATCGATTATGGTAAAATACCAATCTGATTAAAGTAATAAATTGTTTTGAAGAGGCAGGAAACTGAAAAAAAAATTGCTCAAAATTACTGGATATAAGCAACTAGCAAACTGCAAAATACATAAATAAACAAATACATTTGAATAAAATGAAAGAAAGTCAAAACATCCAGAATGTACAAACTTTTGTTGTTCAAAGATTTATATTTTGCTTCTTTATGTGGTGACTAGCTCTTTGATATACTTTCTACTTACTTTATTCAATAGACCATTTTCTCCGATCTTATAGTGACTTGATTTTTCTCAAATTTCTCAAATATACACAAAGATCCTCTTCTAAATAATACATGAACTGAATTGTATCTGCTTGAAATAAGCAACAAATAACAGGCATAAATGATCATTGGAGGTATTTGTACGTACGTAACCTGTTTATTTTCTATTTTGATTGCAGTAAAAGCAACAAAATACCCAGATATCTATATGCTTATCTATACAGTTTCCATACATATATTATATGTAATAAATGTTATCTTTCATGAACATTATTTTGGGGAGGACAGATTAGATGCTTTTATTTTGAAACGGCCCAGCGGAAGTCAGACAATGACTACTAGCTTGACCACAGCAGCGAGGCAGCAGCAGCAGCACAGTGAGCCCGCTGCCACCTCAACATGGAGTAGCTGGAGCCGAGCGCCTACTGCCGAAGAGCGGATTCCTTTGACGGGAAGACCCGGCGCCATATATTTAATTTATCTGCCAAGAAAAACCCCCGCAAATGATACAGCGGCCATATTTAGTAGAGTCACAGGGAAGCCCGGCTTTTATTTGAAAAGATGGCGAACGACTCTCCAGCTAAAAGTCTGGTAGACATAGACTTGGCTTCATTGCGGGTGAGTACTGGGGACGATGTTTTTCCTGCTCCTTTTTTTGCCTCTTCTTTATTTCACATTTCTCTGTAAAGCGTCGTCTGTTTAAAGCGCATTACATGGGCAGGTTTCAGGCTGGGTTTCGGCGTTTCTTTGTGCTAAAGATGCTTTAAAAACGAGCGCTGAGGCTCATCGAGGTGTTGCCAGTGTCTGATTTTCCTTTGTTCGAGATGCGTTTGGCATGTTGGGGAGACCAGGGCGCAACAGCTGGCGGACACCGGACAATGTTATCGGTTTTAAGATGTAACAACACTTGTTATTGAACCACCCTGTCCTTTTTCTCTACTGCAGGATCCGGCTGGGATATTTGAGCTGGTGGAGGTAGTTGGAAATGGCACCTATGGACAAGTATACAAGGTTGGTTGGAGGCATGGCCTGTCCTGTTTTCATCTAATCTGATTTTCTGTTTTAAACTCTAAGAACAAAGGAAGGGGCATTAAGGCTGGATGGTTAGGTTGGACCACATGGTGGGAGAACGAGCAGCGCTTTCCCTCTGGTGTTATTGTTAAGAGTTGGCCTGGGAAGCGAGGGTTAATGGCTGAATCAGACCATGTAAACTCTGATGCATCACCCATCTTGCATCAACAAAAGAGTAGATAAGAAACCCTTGCCTTAATGTAGGGAAAACCTCCAAGAGTCATGTCACAAACTAACAGAGCATTAAAAGATTTAAAATCGTGCCAAGATCACGTAGATGCAACATCCTGGGGTGG